TGAAAGAGATCGAATGTGTGGTGCGTGATTTGCTGAAATCTCCGGCAAAGGATTCTGAGTTCGAGATTCCTAGGATCCACGACTGCTGGAAAATTGTGAGGAACGAGATATCTGAATATTTGGACAAATCACCAAATAAAAGTGACATAGTGGTTGATGCAATGATTGGAAGATCCACGACAATGAATGCATATTCAAAGGTTGGGGGCTTTGAATATCGTACTGTGGAAGTGGAAGTGGGTAAAACACAAGAAATTCAAAGAATGAGTGTTCATCTTAAGGATGCTGCAGGGGAATCATCCCCAGCGAGCAAAAAATCAATTTTGGGAAACAGAATGCAGCAGAACAAGGATAAAGAGATGATTTCTGCACCATTAGCTGCTGTTTCTGAACCTCCAGAAACTCGCAGAATGGAAGATGGGCATGTAAAAGCTGAAAACAAAATCTCATTGCAGGATGAAGCGATATCACTATCAGCTTTGGATCAAAGAGGTGGAGAAATTGCTAAAAAATTAGGTCCTGAAGGATTAAGGTCGGAAAAATCATCCTCATCAAAGCTGCTGTCACCATTATCCAGCATGGCACACCCGGAGTTGAATGAATATGAGACAAGGCGAGATACAGTATCTCTTGACAGGGTAGAGACTCAATCCAATCTTGCAGAAAAAGGTGAAATTATTTTTTCAGAGGTAAAAGAGATGTTAAATACAAATGAAATAAAGGATTCAGAAACACAAGAAAAGCAACATGGATACTCTGGACCTGAAGGCAAAATCCCAGTGAAACAAGAGGCCAAGGAAAAACTAGCTCTGGATGTTGGAGCAGGAATGACTCCAAACAAAACGGTTGTTGAGGTAGCCAGAATTTCAGAGATAGAAGAGATTTCACCAATAGGTGAAATGGGGGATTCTAGAATGGAGAGATCCATCCCTGGACCAGAAAGTTCTATTTCTGATCCTGAAGGAATAACTCATGAATATGAAAGTATTTCCTCCAAGTCTGGAAGTAAAAGAGTTAATCAGATGAAGACTAAACCACTGTTGGATTTGTGTGGGCCAGCCCATTTGTGGGCCAACCCAAAACACAAGTTACTAAGACTTGAGGGCTTTATGTGAAGGAACATTTGAGCCAGCCACAAAAAAATACTTTCACTTTTTGGTGTGAAGAATTCCAGCCGCACAAGTGAGGAGAGAATCGAAGAGAGAGAAAGAGTGAGAGCCAAAGAAAGAAAATTCTTTGCAACTTTGAAGCCTCAGTTGGAAGATGATTTGAAATCCGATTGAGACGAAATTTTACACATGCGATCCTCTTGTCAAAATCTACTCATCTACCAGTTTAGATTTCAGATTTCCTCTTCGTTTGGTAACATCTTTCCAAACTCACCTCTTTGACAGTTGTAATTTTTGGGGGTGATTTTGTAGCAGATTGGCTTGGTTGGTATTGGTGATATTGTTGTCATTCGAATATTTCGGGTAGACTTGTGTATTCCCATTGTTGTGATAGTGGAGATTTTTTATTGGACTAGGTCCCGTGATTTTTCTCAATTTGGGTTTTCCATTTAAAAATCTTGGTGTTCTGTGTCTTTTATTTTTCTTGCATTTTATTATCACTGCTGGTATTATTATTTGGTGATTTGGTTTATTCCTATTTTAACTGGTACTTGGGAAAAAAGAAATTTGTCCGGGCTAACTCTGATATTGTGTGCCTGCACTGGTATCCCCTTTTCCAACAAGTGGTATCAGAGCAGCCAAGTTAGGCTGCTCATTTGTACTGGTTAAAAATAGATGATTCGAATAGTGGTTGCATGATAAAATTGAATGCTACTAATTATTCAATTTGGAAGCCTAGAATGGAAGACTACCTGTATTGTAGAGATTTGTTTGAACCTGTTCTAGGGGATAAAGGTAGACCAAGTGATATGAATGATGAAAAATGGGCTGTTATGCACAGAAAAATTGTTGGTAATATTAGAAAATAGATTGGTCAAAGTAGTTTTCAATATTTTGCTAATGACACCAGAGCTGATGTATTATGGAAAAAGCTTTAAAGTATGTATGAACGGAAGACTGGTTTGAACAAGGCTAGTTGTTTAAAGCAGATTACTCGGATGAGATATAAAGATGGAGAAGATATGCCTGAACACCTGAGTAATTTTCAGGCATTAATAAACCAGGCAACTACGTTAAATTTGAATTTGGATGATGAAATATAGGCTCTATTATTATTTGGTTCACTACCGAATAGTTGGGAAACCATGGTGGTCTCCGTCAGTAATTCAGCTCCGAATGGTGTGTTGACCATGGCTATTGCAAAAGAGGCCGTGATGAATAAAGAGTTCAGGAGGAAGGAACAAGGAATTGTCTATGAGTCCCAGGCCCTGGTGACAGAAAAGAAAGAAAGAAGAGGGAGAAGCAAAAGTAGAGGACCCCACAACAGGAATAACAAATCCAGAGATAGGTCTGAGTCACGAAAAAATATTACATGCTATTATTGTAAAAAAAAATGGGCATTATATGAAGGAGTGCAGAATCCTAAAACGGGAACAAGCTGAGAAAAAGGGTAAAGCAAAGGAGAAAGGTGATGAAGAGACTACAGTAGTTGTGGCAGCTCATGATGATATGTTTGTGTTCTGTGATGATGGTTAGGTGAATATTATTCATTATGACAGTGATTGGGTAGTTGATTCGGGTGTATCCTACCATGTTACTTCTCACAGGCATTTCTTCTCAATCTACACCAAAGGAGATTTTGAATATGTTAGGATGGTAAATGAGGTCTCATGCAAAGTTGTTGGCATGGGAGACATATATTTGGGTACAGATACCGGGTGCTAGCTGATATTAAGAAATGCTCGACATGTCCCTGATATGCGCCTTAATCTTATTTCTACAGGAAAACTTGACGATGAGGGTTACCATAACTTGCAAGGTGGAGGCAAATGAAACTCAACAAATGAAATCTCGTTGTTACTAGAGGAAAGAAGCAGAGTACCCTCTACTTGATGCAAGCCAAGTTGGGGAAGGGAGAAGTGAATGCAGTTCGTGATTTATCAATTGACCTTTGGCATAGACAACTTGGGCACATGAGTGAAAAAGGGATTCAGACACTTGTTCACAAACAGTTCCTACCTGAATTTAGAGGTAATGTACTTAAACTTTGTGTTGACTGCATTTATGAGAAACAACACAGAGTTGCATTTCAAAATTTTCGTCCATCTAGAAAATTAAATCCGTTAGAATTGGTGCACACTGATGTTTGCTATATGAAAGATAAGTCCCTTGGTGGTGCTTTTATTTTGTAACTTTTATTGATGACTTTGCTAGAAAGGTTTGGTGTTTTGCTTTGAAATCCAAAGATCAGATTTTGGATGTATTTAAAGATTTTCATAGCAAAGTTGAAAGAGAAACTGGCAAGCAGTTAAAGTGTATTCGTGCTGATAATGGTGGTGAGTACAGAGGACCATTTGAAATTTATTGCAAGTCTCGTGGGATTAGATTGAAAAAGACTGTGCCAAAAACTCCTCAAGAAAATGGAGTAGCAGAGAGGATGAACAGATCCATCACTAAGCGGGTCAGATGTATGCTCTCTAATTCTAAACTGCCAAAATCCTTTTGGGGTGAGGCAATGAGGACTGCAGTTGATTTGATAAATCTTTATCCATCAGTTCCTCTAGATGGTGATATCTCAGAGAGGGTATGGATGGAAAAAGATGTGTCCTTTAAACATTTAAGAATTTTTGGTTGTCGGGCGTTTGTTCATATTCTCAAAAATGAGAGGTCAAAACTTAATGTAAAATCAAAACAATGTATTTTCTTGGGTTATGAACATGAAGATTTTGGTTATAGATTGTATGATCCTATTGAAAAAAAAGTGACCAGGAGCAGAAATCTTGTCTTTTTTGAAGATCAAACCATTGAAGACATTGATAAAGGTGATAACTCAAAATCTTCAGATGGCATTCCTGCTAGCTCAAATTCAGATCCAGATTCAATTTCAATACATGTTGATTATAATCAAAGGGGAGCTGAGACAGAGCAGAGAGAGGATGTTAATGATGGTGATAATTTTACTGCTGATGAACCTGAGCATAAGGCGCCACCTATTCCACCACCGCCACCACAAGATGAGCTTAGGAGATCTACCAGAGAAAGGAGACCTTTTAGCAGATATAATTCTCATGAATATGTGTTGTTAACAGATGGAGGAGAGCCAAAGTCCTACTGTGAGGCTCTAGAGTATGAGAATAAAGAAGATTGGTTGCGAGCCATGAAAGAGGAGATGGTGTCTCTGCATGAGAATCATACTTATGATTTAGTGAAATTGCCTAAGGGAAAGAGAGATCTAAAGAACAAATGGGTCTACAGGTTGAAGAGTCAGGAGCACAACTCACAACCAAAGTATAAAGCAAGATTGATTGTGAAAGAATTTAGTCAAAAGAAGGGTGTAGATTTTGAAGAAATTTTCTCTGTTGTGGTGAAAATGTCATCAATTCGAGTTGTTCTTGGTATTGCAACCAGTTTGAATTTGGAGATCGAACAACTTGATGTGAAGACAGCCTTCTTGCATGGCGACTTGGAAGAGGAGATCTATATGGAGCAAGCGGAGGGGTTCAAAGAAAATGGCAATGAAAATCTTGTATGTCGTCTCAAGAAGAGTTTGTATGGGTTGAAATAAGCACCGAGACAATGGTATAAGAAGTTTGACTCCTTCATGACAGACCATGAGTACCACAGGACTACATCTGATCACTGTGTTTATGTGAAAATTTTTTCAGATGGTGATTTTATTATTCTCCTGCTATATGTTTATGACATGTTGATTGTTGGTCGTGATACTGTGAAGATTGATAGGCTAAAAGGGGAGTTAAGTAAATCCTTTGCAATGAAAGATTTGGATCCGACTAGACAAATATTGGGATTGAAAATCTTACGAGATAGGCAAAATGAGAAGCTTTTGTTGTCTCAAAAAAATACATTGAGAAAGTACTCAACAGGTTTAACATGAATAAGGCTAAGGAAGTCTCAATTCCACTTACGGGTCACTTTAAACTGAACATCAAGCAGTGTCCTACAAGTGAGAAAGATAAAGAAGATATGAAAAAGGTTCCTTATGCCTCGGCTGTCAGTAGTTTGATGTATGCCATGGTTTGCACCAGACCAGATATTGCTGATGTTGTTGGAGTAGTCAGTCGGTATCTCTCTAATCCTGGTAAGGAGCATTGGAATGCTGTCAAATGGATTCTCAGGTATAGCAAGGGAACTTCTAGATTGTGTCTATGTTTCGGTAATGGTAAAACTATGCTAGATGGGTACACTGATGCAGATATGGCAGGTGATCTTGACAATGGGAAGTCCACATCTGGGTACTTGATGATCTTTGTAGGGGGAGCAGTGTCATGGCAAAGTAAGTTACAGAAGTGTATCGCCCTTTCTAGTACGAAGGCAGAGTATATTGCAATCACGGAAGCATGCAAGGAGACTTTTTGGTTGCAGAAATTTCTTCAAGAGTTGGGTATGAAGCAAGAGAAGTACAACCTTTATTGTGACAGTTAGAGTGCTATTCATTTGTGTAAGAACTCCAGTTTTCACTCTCGGTCCAAACACATTAATGTGAGATATCATTGGATTTGGAAAGTATTGGATTCCAAGTTATTGACACTTGAGAAGGTGCATACAGATGATAATGGTGCTGACATGTTGACCAAGGCATTACCTAAAGAAAAAACTCTTGTTTTGTAGACAGGGAGCAGATTTGACTATACCCCCCAAATGAGTTGGAAAGGGAGATTGTTGGACTTGTGTGGGCCAACCCAAAATACAAGTCACTAAGACTAGAGGGTTTCATGTGATGGAACGTTTGAGGTAGCCGCAAAAAAGTACTTTCACTTTTAGGTGTGAAGAATTTCAGCCGCACAAGTGAGGAGGGAAACGAAGAGAGAGAAAGAGTGAGAGCCAAAGAGAGAAAATTCTTTGCAACTTTGAAGCCTCAGTTGGAAGGTGATTTGAAATCCGATCGAGACGAAATTTTACACACGCAATACTCTTGTCAAACTCTACTTATCTACTGATTCAGATTTTAGATTTCCTCTTCGTTTTGTATCATCTTTCCAAACTCATCTCTTTGACAATTGTAATTTTTGGGGGTGATTTTGTAGCAGATTGGCTTGGTTGGTATTGGTGATATTGTTGTCATTCGAATATTTCGAATAGACCTGTGTATTTCCATTGTTGTGATAGTGGAGATTTTTGCCTAGACTAGGTCCCGTGATTTTTTTCAATTTGGATTTTTCACGTAAAAATCTTGGTGTCCTGTGCCTTTTATTTTTCTTGCATTTTATTATCACTGCTGGTATTATTATTTGGTGATTTGGTTTATTCCTGTTTTAACTGGTATTTGGGGAAAGAAAAATTTGTTCTGGGCTAACTCTGATATTGTGTGCCTGCACTGATACCCCCTTTCCCAACAACCACTTATGAACCTAAAAATATGTCTGTTTGCCAGGTCTTCTTCACGAAGTGGAACTGTTCCGAAAGCTTCACAATTGGATTCATCAAGAGAAGATTATATAAGTTTGCCTCAGGGTGAAGAAGAACTGAGAATTAGCTACATGGTACGAAAGATAATTGAGTGCATGCAAGATGATAAATACAGAAGAATTGGCATCCACGGAAAAGATGGAATAGGCCAGACAACCGTACTTAAAGCTTTGTTTTGCGCTCCCGAAATTAAAAATAAATTCAATTTTCTTATTCAGGTGACCATCTCAAGAAATTGGAGCAGGGAAAAGATTCAGCTTGAGATTGCAAGGCAGCTAGAGCTCACTGTGGAAGGCCCTAAATCTGGAGATGAACTTACGAGCAAGTTATTTCATGCACTGCAAAGCAAGAAGTATTTGTTGATACTTGATGACGTATGGGACAATATTAATTTGGAGGCACTAGGTGTTAATTTGGAGAGCCATTCTAGGTTAGTGGTGGCAACAAGATCTGTTCATATTTGCAAAATAATGGCCTTGGATCAACAGATAGAAGTAAGTGCCCTTCCTTGGAAAGAAGCATGGAATCTATTCCAAGAGCAGGTAGGAGGCCTCATTGATTCCCCCAATATAAGGCCTCGTGTGGTAGTAATAGTTTCAGAATGTGATGGTTTGCTATTGATGATAATTGTGATTGGAAGAGCCTTGGCTAAGGAAAATGATGTCTTGGGCTGGAGGCTTGTGCTGAGTAATCTTTCATCAGTTACCGAACTAAAATCTGGTGACACCGAAAGTCATGATGAAGTTCTACTCCAAAAGCTAACAGTTGGTTATGACAAATTGCATGACTATGATTTGAAGCATTGCTTCCTATATTGTGTTTTGTTTCCAGAGGATCACAACATTCAAATAACTGAGCTTATCAATTATTGGATCCAGGAAGGCCTTGTCACGGGGAATCCAGTAGATGCATCAAGGAAAGGGTTCAGAATTGTTTGGCATCTTACTGAAGCCTCTCTAGTGGAACGTGTTGATGGTATTTCAATTAAAATGCATAACTTGATAAGGGATTTGGCATCTTGGATCATCCTATCAGAAGATGGATCCTTGGATTTCTTGGTGGGAAGGAAATTCAACAAAGTTGGAAACCAAGAGCTGATGTTGGGACCAAGGACAAGATTAATTACATGCAGCCCCCAAAAGTTGCCCAGGGTAGAAGATCGCCTCTTGTCAAGAGCTGGGGCAGGTTTACCATTACCACCAACACAAAATGAATGGGAAGAAACTGAGATGATATTTCTCATGGATAATGGCATTTCAAAGCTACCCAAGGAACCAAATTGCCGCAAGTTAAAGATGTTGTTTCTTCAAAGAAACGGACGTCTTACAAGTTACAACTATACCTGAATCATTTTTCAACAGCATGCCTTGTCTACAAGTTGTGAATCTATCCAGGACAAATATAAGATCCTTACCATCATTACTTTACAACTTAAGTGGACTCCAAGCGCTAATTCTTTGCCATTGCCCATGCTTATCTGAGATTTCTCCCAGAGTTGGGGAGGTAAAGCCCATAGAGATTCTTGATCTGACAGGTACTGAGATTTATAGCCTACCTGATACCATTGGCAAATTATCATCTCTCAAGCATCTTCATGTATCTTTTTATGCATATGTGGATCACAAAAAGTATCATAATAAGCACAAAAAATTTGGTTCCTGGTGGTATATTTGCTAACCTTCAGTCACTGGAAGAATTGAGCATTGAAGTGCAACCCAGGGATACTCAGTGGAATACAGATGCAGAATTTGTTGCAGAGGAATTGAGCAATCTGAGCAATTTGGATACTCTTTGTATTTGTTTCCCCGAAATAAAGTTTCTAAAGACTTTCCTTGGATCCAGTCCTGCTTGGAAAGCTGATAATTTGAGGAAGTTCAAATTTGTCATTGGCCATGATATCAAAAGGTCGACATCTCGTGTCCCAAGACGTACAGAGCAGGATTATGATCAGGAACACAAGTGCTTGAGATATGTCAATACTGATATTGATCACATACCTAATGAAGTTAAGGATGTGACGCCCCGAAAAAAAAATGAGTTTGAGAACCCGGAAATTTTCTAATTTTCTAGGGTTTATTTTTTTAAACGCCCGCCTTTTCTACATTTTCTTGATTAGAAAAATTCCCCAGATAAAGTTTATGAGCAAAAATAGTTTTAAAATGATTTTTCTAGTATCGGTTAGTTTTTGAGAAATTAAAAGCGTATTTTGGACGTGGAACCCGCAAGTGCGGTAAATGCATTATATTTTTGACAACTTGTTGGAATTTTGTATTAAGTGATATTATTTTACAATGTGTTAAGATATTTGTATTGGAGAGACAAAAAGATAAGATTAAAACCCTAAAGGACCATTTGTCACAAAACCATTGGACCTTGACTTTTGACCAAGACTTTTCTAACTTTACTAAAACCAATTTGGACCCAATTTCTCTCCATTTTAGCTTGTCTTGGACGAAATTTTGAGAGAAAAAGAGAGAGAAAATTCATCATCTTGCACTTCAATTTCTTGTCCAAATTTTGAGTTCCAACCGATTAAATTGCAAATCACTCCATAAAACTTGCTAGCTAAGGAAGATTGAAGCTCTTGGTGGAGTTGTTTTGGAAGAAAAATCCCTAAGTCATCACCTTTCTTGATATTTGAAGGTATCATGTCTAGCAATCCTTTCTTTGTTCTTGATTATGCTAAATTAGTGACTTGTGATTGCTAAAGAGATGGTTTGATGGATTATATTTTGAGTTGTGGTTGGATGGATGAACTTTTATTATTTTTGGGGATTTTTCTGTTTTAATATGAGTATGATTATGTGGTTATGTATGATGATTGGAAATGATGTTTAATGATTCTAGAAGGTGGAAAAAGTGGAAGATTGCAAGTAAATTCTGTTTTGAAAGAAATCTGGAAAATTAGGGTTCTTGGTTCTTCATTCTGTCCGAAATTTTTGGTCCTAGATAGAGGCAGAATTGGCCTTATCTCAAAACATGAAAGTTGTAGGGAATGACATTTTAAAGGTTCCTACAAAATTTCAGGTCAATCGGAGTAGCGTAGAGTGAGAAAAGTCGAAATTACTATTGCTGTTCTGGTTTACCCGAAATTGGGATTTGCGATTGTAATTGGTTGTTTTGGCTGGAATTGCTTCCGAATTGGTTGTTGAGGCCTTCTGATGGAATTTAGCCCTGTTTCTTATCTTTCAGTTGGTTTTGGAATTTCTGGATTTGGACTTCGGTAGCCTGATTTATGATGTTTGTACCAGAATGCGATTCGTGAACCTGTTTTTCCTATTCTGGTGTAGTATCTTGCATTTTTGACCTGGTTACACTCGAAACTGGGTTGAGTGACCTTCTACAATATTGTAGCCTTATCTCTTAGCTTCCAAACGGTGGGTCTTGTACCTTCATCCGACCATCGTAGTGCCTTTGGCACCATTACCGCAAAATGACGTCAAAACTGTTTTTCTGGTTTTGAGCTTAACTTTCATTTCCGGACTTTTCCCTAGCTTGACTTGTCTTTGTACTACTTGGAGTTTGTTGAATGGCTATTGGATGAACTTGTTGTTGTGTGTGTACCTTTGGGTTGGAATGAGAAAAATAATGAAGCCATGATGGCTGGAAAAGTTAGCAAATTCAGGGGAAGTGCTGTCCGAACTTTGAAGGAATTTGTTTGCATTGAGTTTGTGATTTAAGACTTGGATTTGAGCAAGGCAATGATATTTGATGGATGATTTCTGAGCCATGGAGGTGAGTGACCCTAAACTATTTCCAAAGTACTTGTGAAATGTTTCTTGCATTAATTATTCGATTGCATATCATGCGTGCTTGCATGTGAATTCATGACATGATTTGGCTTCAATGAGTTCTGGGAAAGTCTTGTGCTGGACACCAACGTCTCCACCTTGTTTATGGTTCATGTTCATGGTTATCTGGAGCACCGATGTTGCTCCCACTTTCGTGAGTTCGTGAGTTAATGTTAAATGAAATATTTGAGCGTTGGGTGTTCAAGTGCTGTGATTTCACCGGCTCACGAGAGCACTAAACGGACATTTGATCTTGGAATCATGACATCATCGAAATCATCGAAATGCAACATTGTGAAATATATTTGTTTAATGATTTTCCTGGTTACTCGCTGAGCTTATAGGTCACCCCAAAAATATTTTATTCCCCTCCACAGGGCTCAAGGCGAAGGCAGGACTTGTTGTGCTTATTCACGTGTATGGATGGCCTATATTTTGTACAATTTGGATTTGGAATCATTTGATGTATAGGTGGGAATTGTTTTCCGCTGCATTTGTGACATGTAATTATTGGAGACTTGGATGTATATTTGTGGACCATGTGATGTATATTTGAGATTTATCTTGTAGTTTATTTGAGGACTTTAGTGAACGACTGAGTCCCGGCGAGAGTTGGGCAGGCGGCCCGCCGAACCCTCTGGTTCGCCTTAGGGGGAGGTGGGGTCGTCACAAAGGAAGTCCTCAAGTTGGCCACAGCCTTCTATCTTGATCACCATTCTAGGATCAGAAGCTTAACAGAGTTTGGCATTCAAATTATTAGACAACTGAAGTTCTGTACTGTAAGCGAATGTTCTGACATGGAGTCCATTGTAGATGGTGGCAGTATTATTGATGAAATTGCATTACCAAATCTATCTCACCTAAGTCTTCATTACTTGTGGAACTTGAACAAAATTTGGAAAGGTGAGATAACTGTTGAAAGTTTCAAGGCTTTAAAAGTTTTGTCGGTTCATACATGTCTGAGGTTGGAATTTGTTCTTTCATGCTCTATGGTACAATATTTTCCTAGCCTTGAAGACCTTATGGTAGAAGATTGTGCATCTATGACAGAAATCATACTATGTGAGATGTAGAAAGAGGTTTGTGCTGCTGAAATTCCAAAACTGAAAAAGTTGGAACTTCGTTATCTGACTCAGTTGGTTAGAATCTGTCATCAATCTTATCAGCATATTGAGCATCTCAATATTAAATACTGCCCAAAGTTTGAGTCCAACTAGCCTACTTGCAGTGAGTAGGCATGCACAGTGAAACCCTTTCTAGGGACCTCATCGATTTATGAATCTTGTGTGAGAAACAACTCAGTTTAATCAGTACAAGCAGATTGCTGAATAAAAATGTGTATCAAGCGGTGTTAAAAGTGTTCTCCTTTCTTTCTTCGTTGTACTTCATGATTTATTGTATTTGTATATATATGGATCCTTTGTCTAAAATTATTGCAATATGTTGTGGACATTTTGTAATTTTATTTTATTTTTTTAATCTCCCACCCTTCTCCACACCCATTTCAACCCCAACTGTCAGGTCCAAGATTCGAATCCAAATGTGACAGTGAAATGCTTCCTGACTATTGGACCAACCCTAACAGTTATTAGATTGTCGACACCATTTAAGAAGAATAATATTCATTCAATTATATGATTGTATTTGTATAAGCATGTTTTTGCGAGATGTAGAGTTGAATTTAGTCTATATAAACCAAAAGGAATTTGTTTATTATGATACATTTACTGAGAAACAGTTACTGTGAGAACTCGAAAATTTTCTTATTTTATCGAATATTACCAGTTTATTTAAATATTTATTTACTCATTTTCTCCGAATTATTCATTGCGATCATTTAAAATCCATTTATATGGAACGATGCCTCTTTTATACTTTTAAAGCGTTGTGTTGGAAAAAAATTCACTTTTCAAAAATTCGTTTAGTTCGGAACAACGAGTACATGTTTTTTGAGATTATACTTGAATCGGGAGTGTATTAATATTGGAGAGTTAAGAATGATTAATGGTAGATTAAGAAAGGTTAATTGAGGAATTAATACTCGACTTAAGTGAGGACTCACAAATTTTCTCATTTTAAATTCCTATTTCTAGCTTATTTAATTATTTACTTGGTCATTTACTCCGAATTTTATTTTCTAACCTCTTTGGACCTAATTACATGGGTCTATAGCTTAATTATATTTTTAATATGACTTGTTTCAAAATTTAATTTTTTGAAAACTCGTTAAGTGAGAATAGTGAACGCGCATTTGGAGACAGTAACCGATTTGAGGGTACAATAAGCTTGAAAATTGGGATACTTATATAATGGTGTTCAAATTAGGTATTTTTATGTTTAAGTACTCAATTGATAGTTAGTAATACTATCGTTATAAGAATTTCTTGGAGATTTCACTTTATCGCGCTTAAATTGGAACCACGCGTTTTCACACGCGCGATTTAATTGAGGGATTTTAGACCCTTATTTTGGGACATTTAAGATTGGATAATAATAGTATGAATGGAAGTACATTAGAGGTTTAGTGCACAAGTGAAACAAACCCGAAAGGAAACGAGCACGAAATGCGCGCATACGCGCACTCTTCTTAGTTGACTTTTGGAGCATTTTGGGCCACACATTCTTAGGCTTTTCATGGGAGCATCGCACCAGATCAAAACTCTCCACTGTATCACCTTAAACAGCTGTGCAACTCTTTCTTTTTCCCCTAAGACAGCCGGCCATTGAGCTTGCAAAACAACACCAAAGTTCTCCAAATTTCTTCACAAAATCTTCATCAATCTTCATCCAATTCACATCAAATTTCATCCACACTTGGCTTATTACTTGGAGAGTTTATCTAGCTCAGAAAAGGAGCTACTTTCCACGGTTTTTCTTGGACAAGAGAGGACCGAAATTTCTGCTTTGGAACATCAAACCAAGTAAGTGATGATCAAACCTTGGAAACTTGATTTATGGAAGTTATCTTACACATTTAAGCTCATGCATGCACATGGGTAGCTTGTTTATGATGGAAAAATGGTTGTGTGGGCTCTATGAACTCCTACCTTGGATATATGGACTGATTTGTGGTGTTTTGATGGTAATAATATTTATTTAGTGCTTAAACTAGTGGATTAATGTTGGGTTGTTGATAGAAACTCAAGGATGGTGCAATGACCAAAAGTGACCATTTTGCCCCTGCTTTGTTCGAGCACTTTGGTGTAAAATTTTGAGGTTCTAATGGCTTGTTTATGTTGTTTACATGTTATATTGAGTGTGTAAAAAGTTTCATTGAAAAATAACTTGATTTGGTCACTCAAATGTTGGAATTTCGGAAGCTTAGAAATCTGGAATTGGTTCCCGTCACTGCCCAGGCAGTCATCTTATTTTGGCTATAACTCATCGCTCCAATGTCAGAATCGAGTGCCGTTTGTGGCACTGAAAACTAGACATTCCCCGTTTTCTGTTGGTATAAAATTCATGTCCTGGTTCCACTTGAGCAAGCCAAACCATTCGTTTGAAATTTGCTATCCTGTTTCGTTGCTTCCTGGAAGGCAGCACATGAGCTGTAACTTGATGCTCACGAACGAGCTAGTTATGGATAGATTTTGAAAATGGTTTCTTCTGAGAAAATATATCCTTATGAGTCAATTTTCTAATGTCACCAACCATGCTCAATTCCGAGTTAAATTGAGTGATTTATGATCAAAATTCAAATCTGGTCTTGTGAAGGAATACCGTGCATTTGGACAGATTTGAAACTAACAATGATTTGGGACTTGTTATCCGAAGCTTCTTAGTGTAAATCACCTATCAAATGTACCTTGGACATATTCTAGACATTACCTACTAGAATGGACCATGTTTGAGATGTTTCTTGACCAAATGTTTGGAAACGGCAAAACGGAAGTTCAAAGGCAGCTTAGCCTTAGAATTTCTTGTGATTTCAACGGTCTCGTTAACCGATTTCCGTACATATTTTTATATGAAATTTGGTAAAGGAGTGTCCCTTATATGGTAGTATATTCATACCAAATTTGGTGCCGTTCCGAGTCTGTTTCGATACCTAACTAAAGTCCCAAAGTTTGGAACTTAAATCTGGAAAATTAGCTTAACAGTTTCGATTTTTCACCAACTTTGAGCTATCGTATCTCGGTGCTCAAAACTCCGATTCTTGATCCGATTGTTCTGTTCTAAACCTTACTTGTAACTCTAATTGATTTACAAATTTCAGAGGCTGGTTGGCAATGTGTGAATTTTACCGAATTTCCAAAGTTAGCGAAAAACTAACCCCGACACAATCCTAAGTACCCTGAAACAGTGACTTTGAGCCCATTTTTGAATACTTTCCATTTAGAATCAAGAAAAAGTGTCTTCTAAGAACTTTTAGTACTTTCAAATAGGATTCCAAAGGTATCAAGTTTTCCAATTTTGGACTTGTAAAGAGTGAGATACGATTTTTCAAAGATTCATATCAAAACTGAAATTTCCAAAACTTACGGGAAATGGAGTTTTTCGAATTCTCCTTTTTCCCTCGATATCACTTGGACGTTTTATACTTGATTTCAAAGACGGAAAATTGATTGCTCTTGTGTTTTGAAACCCCGTCTTTGAACCTCGATTTACGAGTGATTGGAGTTCGTTTTTACGAGATTTTCTTGGAATGTGCACTAGTGCGATCTTTTCATTTATTAGGGTTATGAGTGATAGATCCTTATTAATTGCCCAGGCTCGCACGAGAACCTTCAAGAGGATCCCACAGTGAACGCCTAAAAGCTCCGAGTGACATTTCTTTCTTGTACTTGTATCGGTGAGTGTCAAGTGCATGTTTACTTGAACTCCTGTGAACTCGTTACATGCTTACCTGTTATCAATGCTTTGGGATTTGAAAATGGAGTCGAGTGTGTACTTTATCGCACTCGTTCTCATGCGAAAACAACAACTCATGCTTCGAATGCTTGATTATTTCAAATACTTGACCATAACAAATGCTGGAATGTATCAAATGCTTGAATTACATGAAATGGTATGATATGGCTGCATACGTCGCTATAGTGAATCTCCTCGACTCACAAATGTACATGGGGGACGCCCAAGTCTCACTGGCTAACCTTGGACTCGAGCCGGCATGGGCTTGGTCGGGTTCCTTGGCGAACCATGAGAAAACAAAAGCTTGACCTATTAAGAGGTCTTGCTTGGCATACTCGAGCAGTATCGCCTCAAACAAATGACAGGCGGGCCCGATACTGGGGTATGTAAGGTGAAAGGGGACAGGATAAGTGAAGTTCTACGGACTAAACTTACCCGATTGATGGAGTGTCAACTCGTGGAGGTTCATGATCGTGCAAGTGGAAAATAGCTCCTGAGAGCTCCTATATCCTTGAATTGTTTCTGTTTAATTTTCTCGCTCGAATTCTTATTTATTGAAATATTATAGCTCTACTTGTTAAATTGGGATTGTTACTTGAACAACATGCCTGCATGTGTGTACTTGGCCTCATGAGCGTTTTGCTCACCCTGTAGATTTGTTTTCCTTAACATGATTGGACATGGAGTGAACTTGGAGAAACCCCCTTGTGATGTACTTTTGGCTTAGGGTTCCTAATGTATTTTGGGCTAGACCTCTTATTGATTGTACTTTTGGACACCTAATGTATGATTGGGATATTCAATGTATTTGGATGTTGTATATGTTGGGATTTGAGGTAACTTTTGGAAATCCGATGTAAGGATTGAATCATTGATAGATGTATTGTTAAGTTCAAACGTTTCCGCATTTGCTTACTTTACTTCGTGGTAACGGCTAGTATTGTGTTAAGCTTGAATGGATATTGTCTTGAGTCCTGGTGAGAGTTGGGCAGGCATCCCGCGGATACCCTCTAGTTCGCCTTAGGGAGAAATGGGGGTGTCACAGTTACAACTAGTTTTACAACTTGTCATGACTCATTAAACCTTTATAGGTGAAACACGTACTCTTTTCTCTGATAACATAATTGCAGGGCTTTTGTAATTCTTATCAAACTATTAAAGTTTTTGGTAGAAAACTACTACAAGATTTATTAGCACGCATGGTTGTATATGATTATCATTAAGAATCAAAAGAAGATTAACGTTCTATATTCTAAGCTGGCATCTCTGTAAAAGATCTATTAGTAGAAAATGTTGCAACTAATAGTAGTCGATCCAAAGACAGTAACCATAAGGCCATAATCCAAACAAAAATACACTGCTAAAT